TTTTGTAATATTGAAACTTTTGTAATCCTTTTAATTTTGTAATCTTTACTTTTATAGTTCTATGCTGCTTTCCCTTTCATGACTTTTTTCATTTTTTCTTTTTCGTTTTTCGTACTTTAATTATGATAATAACAACGTTTGTCTTTCAAGGATCCTTGTTGAGCTGGTTGCATGTCCAGACAAAATGGCTAAACTCGGAGACTGATCATTAGACGAGGCGAGGTTTAATGGATGATTGTTACATAAGCACTGTTAACATTTTAGCACAATAACATTTTAATGCATACTAGTAAATCTTCAAAAAATATTTAACCTTTTTTGAGACGGTCGTGATTCAAATGCATGATGTGGCATGTTATGTAAATTTCATATACGAATAAAGGTATCATTTGGATAGGGTACACGGATATCTTATATTATATTACGGACAAATTTTCGCTTATTTGATTTTTATTGAAATTTTGTTCCCGGGAACAGTTGTTCTACATATCAAAAATTCAAGCGGGGAAATGTTATCGATGTAAAATACGCTGGAGGGAATGTCTTTCCTGTCTAATCAATCATTAGCCGGGAATTTTCCAGAGAAAATATAGGGTGTGAAATCGTCTAAAAAATCTAAATATTTGATTTAAGGATTGCACAGAAGAACTCTCCGTCAGAAGAATTGACATAACACAAATCAAAGCACTGAATGTACTGATGGGGAGGCTATGACAGAATGTTTCATGCTTATAGTTTCTTTTCTTTTTGCTTAAAATGTGCTGTTAAATAAGAAGATATGCACATTGCGCAATTTATCGCTCAGCCATTCATATATATGGTTAATATGGTTGACTATTCATTTTGTTAATATTCCAGAACATTTCATTGAGGTCTACATTCCGATTGTTAATCATGCAAATTTTGAAAAACCTAAAAACCATTTATAAATGACACACCAGCAGGTATGACGACTGTTCATTATAAGATCATAATACCATTTTACAACTGACGGTTCCTCATCAAAATATTCTAGGACTGTTCATCATAAATACTTTATGTCATTTTAATATCATTGAATGATAATATTTAACAACTGCAAGTTAAGCAACATTTTAATTGAACATAAAATTATACATATTTACATGTACCATAATTGAGATCAATAAGACACTGTCTTGTGATGAGTATTAATACTCATGCTCTACGGACAGAAAGCTGTCTTCTCCCGAAGCAAATCTCGAATAAAATCACGTTTCAGGAAATTATTGTCATTTCATTACTCGTCGCTGACTTTGGCGGCTTCGGATAATATTAAAGCTAAATATTTCTTGAAAAATACATATCTGCAAAGCTTATTCAAAATTGAATCAACCTAAGTGAAAATTGATCAGGAAGTTATATCTTCTTTTTTTACCGCCAACACTCAACCAACTTATGGTAGTTAATCGATAGATTTTAAACCTCACTAGCTTGAAACATATACTGCGGTATATCTGTTGTTAACAGGGTGTGCGGTTATAACGTAGGTTTTCCTTGTCGACCATTTCCCGCAAATAGATGAGAACATCGAAGCGTCAGTGCTATGAATGGTGTTATAAAAAGCGTGTTTTGGAGGTTTTTGTTGAAACTTCTCCAAATCCCTCCAGAGGTATGCACGTCGCGGAGAAGGCACACGGCAGGTCAAGGTCAAGTCATCTCAAGTACCAGAGGTGATTGGTTGACCTGTCGTAACTTACTCTGGAGGTTTGGCGCTAATGAATGCCGTTTTTGTTGTCGTCAGTCAGGAAGTTGATGCCTTGACAGTACTGTCGTCTCCTTTACCACTAACGAACGAAAAATGGGCTACCAGGAAGATTCTGTTTGAAAAAGACGTTTCCGATGCTATAATCTCGGACATATGGTTATTCCGGTGCCGAGAATAAATGAACTTAAAACACACACTCTTGTTGAAAAACAAAACAAAAAAACAACAACATATTTTCTGTAGTAATTTTTCAAGTGTTGTAAAATGAAAACGAAATTCGTCTTATGCCGCCAATTATTTATAGAACACAAACATATAACTTCTTTTTATTTGATTTATTCAAATAAACATAAATCACTTCAGCGCGCGCAAATATCGTTTTCAATTTAAAATTTCGTAAGATATGTTGATGAATTTCCGATGCTCGACTGTAAGTCATTCGTATATATATGCGTTTTTTTTTTGTTTTGTTTTTTAAAGCTTCTTATTCTTTAATATTTTTATGTATCTAATAATCTGTATTGAAAATTTTATTACACATGGACTATCAAATTATGATTCGTTGCCCTTGAATTGAATTAACTTTCTAATTACACAATACGGGGTCATTCATTTGATTGAAGACTGATCTTTGCGTCTTTCTCTGAAATAATTATTTCCTCGTTAAAACATATTTGACCACATATTTCTGTCATTTAACTGTTCACTTTACTTCCGATTTTTGTTGTACCGAAACACATGTTTCTAATTGTGTTTTCTATTCGAATCTATAATCAGTTTAATGGGATCACCACCGGGTAAACGACTACTAGGTACTTTGGTCATGTTTTTTACCCCAAATATTTGAATGTTTCTATTGGGATTAAAATGAGCGTAGATAACTAAACTACTGGTTGTATAAATCCCTGACCTGTCTAATTCTAATAATGAGATTAGTGGATATATTAAGACTTTCACTACAAAATATTTCTAAACAAAAGAGCACATGTTTAAATTTATTCCTTTACAAATAAAAGATCAGAGTAGGGATCTGTCAATTGCCAGACATATTTTTAAAATATACTTTTATGTTAAAAGTTTGATTAATGAATTATGTAAGATGAAAATATAAGTATTGCTTTTTTTTATTTTGCTAATATTAAATGTAATCTTGTGGTGAAATTTTGTGGAAGGGTCCTTACGGATTTTGTAGTTAAATAGTTTTTTTTCGGCGATACATGGTTTAAGAATATAATGTTTTCAAACTATATGTTCATCACCATTAGTGAATTTTTAGTTCTAAATGTATGCAAAATATTTACTAACAGCTATATGATATAGCGGTTAATGAGCGTTTTCCGCGTACATCCTCCTAAGGTGTACTAATAAGTTAGTTTTCCTTAGTTATCACGCAAGCATGATCCATGTCTCTGATGTAAGCGACAGTTTACCATTATTTGTCTTTAAAAAAATATTAAGGACTAGATCTATTAATGGTTTATAGCAACAAAAGAACATGCATGATATTGAGACTACGGTGTTGCAACGTTCTAGTTAATGACCCGTCATAAACAGTTGGTCGCTGCGTAGTAATTGGAAAATTGTTATCAAAAATAATAAAGAATATTTGCCACCTAATTAAAGCATTTATCTATAAATTTTCATTTATGCTTTTTGTTTAAAAAATATTGATAAAGTTATTATATAGAAGGGTTTTCATACCAGAACTATTTATTACCAACGTACGTATGCCTAAACCTGATTGCCGCGGCAGTATGACGTCACGGAGTAGTGATTTTGAAAAAATAACAAACAAAAATCGAGAATTATTATCTTTACAAATTGCAGATATGAAATTAAAGAATGAAAATATTTTCATATTGTAAATGTCTGTGATGAGTGATGAGTCAGCTTAGAAAAATCAAGGTACTATTTTTTGACCTGATTACCGCGGCAGTAAGATTTGACGGACGGTTATTAACATTGGGTCGGCATAGCCTCCCCAAAAAGTACGTTTTTAGCTGACTATTCGAAGAATATTGAGAACTATTGTTATCAACCAGGCGTTGGCGTCACCGTCACACTTTGATTCCCCTAGCACAGGCTTGAGCGGTACTCAATTCTCAACACTTAGTAGTGCTGTCATCAATGATCCAAAAGAACCAGAAAAATATAACAACACTGAAGTGAAGTACGGGGCAACTTTTTACAGCTGCCACACAGCACTTGACACCTGCTGTTGTGAAGTATAAAAAACTGGAAACAAAGTGATCCCTCGGAAGCATTACTCACAACAAAATTACAAAAGAACTGCAGACTCGGTTTGATTGAGTCTGTACATGAGGGATAATGTAAAGTGCAACATCCCTCATGCTTCAAATTATTTATTCAAAAGACTTGTACCTAGTGTCATATATAGGAATGCATCAAAATTGGGCCAGGTGCCGAAATTTCTAGCATTATTAGTGTTTGAAGAAGTCCTTTGTTACTTCATGATGGAAGCAGCAGCGGAGATAAAATACTCTGTTTGGTTCGAAACACATCGTTGAAGCATGGCTTTACAAGGCCGTTGGCGGCTGTCCGGCCGGTCCAAGTGTGAACTTATCTTAATTTTCATTAATTAACATCGGCATGTTAAAGATATATTATTAGTGATGCCGGTGAAAGGACATTCTCAGCGCTAAGTAGAACTACCTGCGATCGACAATACTTCAAATACTCTTGAAAAGGAACTTGGGAACGGGACCGCAATTAATACAGGGGAAGTTTTACTCAACTTGCGTATCCTGGAAGGAGGAAAGGGTCATTACCACAAGAAAACGATGGCGATGTTTTTTGGTTGATTTTTTTTAATCGTAGCGATCATTGGTTAGCCTTATTCATTGTTTGATTTATGTTAAAACACAATCTATACGTGTTTTTAATTGTAAAACATTAATTATTAATATTTTATGTACAACTGTCTCTCGGTTATGCGGTCTGTAGTTAACCTTTCATCCTTTAAACATAGATATACCACGGACTTCAATTGTAAATAAAAGTCCGTTGATGCACTGATCATTGCAAAGATTTATTTACAGATGCCAAAACAACATGCACTAGTGCAGACTCTGAACTGTGCCAAATACACCGAAAAACGCTTGTAGGAGCATGCTAGAACGAAACATTTTCCGGGTGAGCATGCCCCCGTACCCGCAAAATCGCCAGGCCTGCTTTAATTACAAGTGAATCGTAGCCTTGAAGAAATGTAAAATTAACAGAAATTTGCTATAACAACGGCTAATCTGTGCAATATATGGGCGTAACGAGTAACGTGGTAAGTAAACGAAAAAATATATTTTAAAGTAAATCAAATTTAAAGAAATGAAATAGCGCATAGTGTAATATATTTTAAATCTCAATTTGGTCTAAAAGTCACATGGCACCCTGTATATAGAGACGAGTTGCTGTCAATCTTACAGCGAGACTGTTAGCTATAAATATACTCGTGGCGCATAAATGTGATGTCAAGCTCGGGGGAAAACATATTGGAACAAATCTTGACGGAACGTCTTCCAAGAAGAAACCCTCCCTGAAACAAAATCGATTTCGGCTGCAGAGAATTGTCTCAGAGAATTTTCCCCACATTGCTCGTAACACAGCGCACTGGTGGATTAATAGCTTGAAGGAGAAGCACAATTTACGAATTAGTTTGTATCCTAGCTCTAAAAAAATAGAATGTCTCTCAATTTATCCGGGAAAAAATTTCTTGTGACCGGTGCTGGTCGTGGTATAGGCCGGGCAGTAACAAAAGCACTATGTGAACAAGGATGTAAAGTGTATGCTTTAAGTCGTTCAAAATGACCATTGGATTCATTAGCGGCTGAATGTCCAAACGTTGAAATCATTCAGGCGGATGTTGGTAACTGGGATGAACTGAAAGAGAAGATTGAAAAGATTGAGACACTGGATGGGCTTGTTAACAATGCCGCTTTCTCGGATGAAGCAACGCTTTCCTCTCTTGAGGTTTCCAATAACTATCTCCAGAAAATCTTTGCGGTGAATTTGTTTGGCAGTATAAATACAACTCAAATCGTTGCAAAGAAAATGATAGCAGATGGAAGGCCTGGGTCAATCGTTAACGTATCCAGCATATTTGCATTGCAAGCAGCTCCAGGCTATCTGGCATATACAGTGTCAAAAGCTGGTATGGACATGGTAACGAAACAGTTTGCATTGGAACTAGGACCGCACAACATTCGCGTGAACTCCGTGAATCCGACTTTGGTCATGACAGAGGCATCAAAAAATTTTATTGCGCAAGGTCATCCGATCGAAAAGCTATTTTTAGAACGAACGCCAATGCCTCGCATCCCAGAGGAAGAGGAAATAGCCGCACCGATTTTGTATTTTCTAAGTGACATGTCTTCAATGGTGTCTGGAACAATCCATATCATCGACGGGGGTTTGACGTCTTCATTTTCGACAAAAATGTAAATAAACAGTTCCTGAAAGAAAGGAATCTTAAGTTTGCATTGCGGCACGTTTGTTTTCATTCACCAACTTAATAAGTTGGTGAAATGCACACGACTGGATTTAATGTATGTTTTAAATGCAAACTAAGACAGTAAGGTTAGCCAACGAAATGACATTTTCGTCATATTTCATATTTCTTCTTTGGATATCAATCTTTACATATTACGTGTATTGCATATCACATTTAACACAAAAATACTTATGGTTGTATCAAAAATAGATGAATAAATATACATGTAAGTTATTATAAAATAGATATTTATGTTCGTTTAAACAAATAAAACATTCAACAAAACTATCAACTATCAACATTTTTTAAAGCTTTAAACCATGTTCATGCGAGTTGTTTCAAAACGTAGGGTTGTAACGATACCGTGAAATCCGTATTGCGATAGATTGCGATACATATTGCGATACACCGATTATGATACATCTGAATGCAAATTTACGAAAAATATAATGGACACAGAAATATACCTTAAAGTAAAATTGCAAATTTATTTTGTAAATGTTTCAAATTGCGACTTTTCCATGAAAGACTAATTTTTGTCTTACAATTGCTTTTATTTCTCAAAATTTATGTGTCCTGTAAAAGTTTCAAAAAATGATTAATTATTTTGCATGTAAAACTCTTTTTAAAACATTAATTGCGATTCGGTTTAAAATAAAAGTATTGTCGATCAAAAGCAATAACGGATTTTCCCAAAGTAAAACTTATATAACATTATCCATAACTAAATAGCAGACATTTAGCACATTAAAATCATTGATTCCAGCTATGTTTGGAAGTTGATGACTATTTTGAACGAACGCGTACAGTACCTTCTATATATTGTCTTTAATGCAATTAGTTTTGAGGTAGTTAAAATGCCCTTTTCATTTGTTTCATTTAAAACGTTTCGAATAATTCCACCCCTTAGTACAATATCAAGTATTTGGAATTGAGTGTTGTCGCAATAGAGTAAATATTATGTGAATACTATTTACAAAAATCCAACTAAAATGGAAACAGAATATCGACTATTACAATTTACTTCTATTCAACTCCCCATGTATTTGTTAATTACTAGAAATAAAGGTATATCTTATCGGTACGTTGATGTGTTTATTATGCTATTTTATAGATATAGCGCACATCTGGGTCAGCGGAAATTCACATATTTTTACCGATGCTCAATGTGGGTTTCACATTGGGTTCCTCCCCGGAATACATGTCAAATTTAAAAACTTATGGCATGACAGTTTTCCACAAGAAGATTTAAATGTGTTTTCAAATATTACTCTATACATAAGTGACCCGTTGGGGTGGGGTCAGATTTGACCATAGGTGCATAATTTTTATACTTTAAAACCAAGGACGATCCTGCAACCAAAATATTTATGAGAACATGTCTAAAGTCCGGGTTTGTAGGGAGGTAGTGGGGTAGGGAAGCATTCAAAGGTACTTTAGGCTACACGTATAACCACAGAGCAATATTTAAATAAAAGTCTCTGGTATAACATACGGTGGTCCTGGTTGGTGGGGCTTGTTTCTTTCTCAGGAATATAATAAATCAGCCTAAAAAAACATTTAAAGTATTAAGTTTTGGGAGTACTGTCATTTGGAAGATTTTAGTATTATTTTTGTTATGATTTCAAACTCTTAAAATTCCAACAAAACCCCTGTCCTAAAAATATAAGAAAACAAGTATTAAATCTAGTATTTTTTCTTTTATGTTTGCTATAGGGTAAAACATTTGCATTTTCATTATGTACTCTTTGAAATAATTTGTCTCTAAAATGGCTTTCAAAACAATCAGGATATACAAAAGCATTTATAGTCTGGAACATTGTGTAAACTACATACTAACAGTTCCACTATGTTTGCATTGTGTATCTTTGGTGAACTCAACCTAGTCAAAAATAGCTGTGTCATATTTTCTGCATTTGTGTTGAATCGTGTTAAATACATGTATAGTTGAGTTGCAATAAGTTGGTAATAGAGATGCCTCGATAATACATAGTTGGAATATTAATCTAATATAAAATAAGTTTTCATTTAAATGAGTTATTTAGGTAAAAGAAGTATTTTCAACACTGTTATATGCACAAGAACCGGTTGAACCGGGTGATGCTCCCCGAGAAGGTTTTGGACACAGGAAAGTATGAAAAAATGAACAAAGGGCAAAAACTCCAAAATTAGGCAAGGCAGACTTATGTTTTTTTGCACTGTACTTCTATTTAATGAGATCTAACTATCTATAAAGTGTCATGATGATATTTCTTATAGTTAGAGAGTTATGTCCCAGATAAATTTCAAAGTGTAAAAATGAACAAAGGGCAATAACTCAAAATTAAATTAGAAAATCCGGACAAAGTTCAAAGTGTAAAAAAAAACAAAGGGCAATAATTAAAAAATTAAGCAAGGCAGAGTTAAGGTTCTTGTGCACTGCACACCTACTCAATGAGATCTAGATACTTACAAAGTTTCATGTTGAAACCTCTTATAGCTTTAGAGTATTGTCCCGGACAATGTTCAAAGTGTAAAAATAAACAAAGGGCAATAATTCAAAAATTAGGCAAGACAGAGTTACGGTTTGTGTGCACTGCATACCTACTTAATGAGATCTATCCACCTACAAAGTTTCATGTTGATACCTCTTATAGTTTTAGAGTAATATCCTGGACAAAGTTCAAAGGGTCAAAATGAACAAAGGGCAAGTACTCCAAAATTAGGCAAGACAGAGTTAAGGTTCTTGTGCACTGCATATTTACTCAATGAGATCTATCTACCTACAAAGTTTCATGTTGATATTTCTTATAGTTTTAGAGTTTTTTCCCGGACAAAGTTCAAAGTGTAAAAATAAACAAAGGGCAATAATTTAGAATTAGGAAAGACAGAGTTACGGTTCTTGTGCACTGCATAACCTACTCAATGAGATCTATCTACCTACAAAGTTTCATGTTGATACCTCTTATAGTTTTAGAGTAATTTCCTGGACAAAGTTCAATGATTCAAAATAAACAAAGGGCAATAACTCCAAAATTTGGGCAAGACATAGTTCTGGTTCTTGTGCACTGCACACATACTCAATGAGATATATCTTCCTTCAAAGTTTCATGTTGATATTCCTTATAGTCTTAGAGTTTTGTCCCGGACAAAGTTCAAAGTGTCAAAATGAACAAACGGCAATAACTCCAAAATTAAGCAAGACAGAGTCACGGTTTGTGTGCACTGCACACCTACTCAATGAGATCTATATTCCTTCAAAGTTTCATGTTGATACCTCTTATAGTTTTAGAGTAATGTCCTGGACAAAGTTCAAAGTGTCAAAATGAGCAAAGGGCAATTACTCCAAAATTTGGGCAAGAAAGAGTTCTGGTTCTTGTACACTGCACACCTACTCAATGAGATCTATCTTCCTTCAAAGTTTCATGTTGATATTTCTTATAGTCTTAGAGTTTTGTCCTGGACAAAGTTCAAAGTGTCAAAATGAACAAAGGGCAAAAACTCAAAAATTTGGGCAAGACAGAGTTCCGGTTCTTGTGCACTGCACACCTTCTCAATGAGATCTATCTTCCTTCAAAGTTTCATGTTGATGTTTCTTTTAGTCTTAGAGTTTTGTCCCGGACAAAGTTCAAAGTGTCAAAATGAACAAAGGGCAATAACTCCAAAATTAGGCAAGACAGAGTTACGGTTTGTGTGCACTGTACACCTACTCAATGAGATCTATGTCCCTTCAAAGTTTCATGTTGATACCTCTTTTTGTTTCAAAGTTATGTCCCGGACAAGAAAAGGGGACGGACGGAAAGACAAACGGAAAGACGGACGGACGGACAAGGCGGCGACTGTATGCTTCTCTGAAATTTTTCGGGGAGCATAAAAATCAAATTGTTGCAAATGAAAGATTTTTTTAATGTTACAAAGTAAAGTAACACGCTATTATTATATTAAGACGATAGAAGTGGATGAAATGACAATAATTTCTATGAAACAATAATTCGTTGAAGTAATACATTTAAAATCAGGTACAAAATGCAGGAAATTTGATTGATTTCTGATCAAAATCTCAACATATGACAAATTCATCATTCTAGTGAAAAGATTAGAATGTTTTCTAATACCTTGTGAAAACAAAAACTTACCACAAAAGTCCCCTAGCAACAGGAGAGTGTTTCCATACACAATAATATGTCACATATATTGTGTTGTGCTGTTTAAATGCTCGTAAAATATCTTTGGCACTTTACAAATAATAATAAAATACTAACATATTTTAATTGCATAAAATTTACTACCATATAACATAAACAAGAGCCATATTAACATGGCCACCCCCCGTCAAATGTGTTTGCTCATTGGAAGAATGTATATGTAGTAAAGCAAAATAATTCTGTTTTAAGTGGTCTTTTGCTAATGAAAACTGATGGCTGAAATGATTACTGATTTGAAACATATGTGAACACAAGGATAATAACTGATAAATAATGCAGGGTAGGTTATCATTCTTGTGTGCTGCACTCATCCTCAATGAGATATATCCACCTATGAAGTTTCAACTTGATACCTCTAACACTTTTTGAGATAAGCTCCAGACAAAAAGTATAAAAAGTGCAATAACTCAAAAATTATAAAGGGTAGAGTTAACATTCTTGCGCATAGCTTTCCTCCTCAATGAGATAAATTCACCTATGAAGTTTCATGTTGACAACTCAAAGACTTTTTGAGTTATGCTCCACTCAGGTGAAAAAATAAGTATGAAAAAAAAACAAAGGGCAATAACTCAAAAATTATGCAGGGTAGAGTTTTCACTTTTTCACTCAATATGATCTATACACCTATGTAAATTCAAGTTAATATTTCAAATACTTTTTGAGATATGCTCCGGACAAAAATGTCGGACGGAAGGATGGAAGGAAGAAGACTTTTTCTATATCCCCCGCCGCCTTTCAGCGGGGGATAATTAAAGAAAAGGACTATC